ATCAAATCTGGAGGAGCTAAAGCCTGGCCATGTTCTTTAGGTTTTTAATGGTGGCTCTAATCTTCACCAATCCCCATCCTCCCAATGAAACATTGTTTTTATTTATTTATTGTTTTGTTAGTTATCATTAGTTTATTATAAAAGCAAGATACAGAAATTTCGGCCGGGCGCGGTGGCTCACGCCTATAATCCCAGCACTTTGGGAGGCTGAGGTGGGTGGATCATGAGGTCAAGAGATCGAGATCATCCTGGTCAACATGGTGAAACCCCGTCTCTACTGAAAATACAAAAATTAGCTGGGCATGGTGGCGCGTGCCTGTAATCCCAGCTACTCAGGAGGCTGAGGCGGGAGAATTGCCTGAACCCAGGAGGCGGAGGTTGCGGAGAGCCGAGATCGCACCATTGCACTCCAGCCTGGGTAACGAGCGAAACTCCGTCTCAAAAAAAAAACAAAAAACAAAAATTAGCTGGGCATGGTGGTGCACACTTGTAGTCCCAGCTACTCGGGAGGCTGAGGCAGGAGAATTGCTTGAACCCAGGAGGCGGAGGTTGCGGAGAGCCGTGCCATTGCACTCCAGTCTGGGTAACAACAGCGAAACTCCATCTCAAAAAAAAAAAAAAAGATACAGACATTTATATAACAAAAGATTTCAGAACTTCCGTAGAACGGGCAGCTTCATGTTGATGCCATTTCAACAGTGACTTATTTCAGTCAATGTACTTTCCAAGAACATCATTATCTCTAAATAGGAAACAATTCTTGTCATCTAGAACTACCTAGGTGCTATGGAAATTAAAAAAAAAGAACTACTTTGGTGCCTCCAATATTCTGAGAGAAGAACTTCATCTCCAACTTTCAGAAAAACAGGTTGAATCTCTTCACCCTTTCCTTAGAACCCAAACAGTGACTACTGTAGCTTGCAATACTTTGCCTCGAGATTCTTCTGAAGCATAATGCTTCCTTCGGTTACAGTTTCAGCAGCACTCCTTTCAATCAATACTTCGTAAAAGAGTGGAAGAAACTTTTTTTTGAGACAGAGTTTCACTCTTTCAGCTAGGCTGGAGTGCAGTGGCATGATCTTGGCTCACTGCAACCTCTGCCTTCTGCTTTCAAGCAATTATCTGCCTTAGCCTCCTGAGTAGCTGGGATTATAGGTGCATGCCACCATGCGCAGCTAATTTTTGTATTTTTAGTAGAGGCGGGGTTTTACCATGTTAGCCAGGCTGGTCTGGAACTTCTGACCTTGCGATTGCGTGCCTCGGCCTCCCAAAGTGCTGGTATTACAGACGTGAGCCACCGTGCCTGGCCAAGTTTTTTTTCTTTTCCTAAGCATATGTTCAGTGATGTCCTGAACTTCCTGTTTCCCCCTCAATGTTCAACCCTCCCTTTATCCAAATCCTGGTATTTTAGTTGCGGCCTATGTGCAACCTCTAGGGAAGCCTTTCTGCTTGGTGTCCGTAACTGGATAAACCTGTTGTTACTTCTCAGGGACCAGTGTGGGTTCATGGCACTCCTCATATCTCAACAATAGGCTCCTTATTCAGCTGGCCCTGCACCCTGCTTTCTAGAGCAAGCCCAACAGCTCCACTGCCTTCCTCTCTTCAGTTGACCTCTCTAATGACCACTGCTGGGCAGTTCTAGCCCGTGTGTCATGGACTCTTCTGTGAACCGATTTTTTTTTCTACTGGACAGTGGGGTTCCCAGCCTCAGCACCCAGGAACCTATTTGGAAGAATGTAGTGCCACATCATGTGTATGACTATCTGCTTTAATTTTCAATGCAGAAGAAATAATTTGTGGGTGCACAGCCTAGGGAGTTCTGGAGACAGAGCTATGAAGAGTGAAAATGAGCTTTCATCCAGGCTCTTCAACTCTTGCTTAGCTGTTGGTAACACAAAGTATAGAGTGAAAAGACTGGGACACATAAAATTCAATTAAATATCACTTGTCATTTTCCTTTTAATTTTTTTTTTTTGAGACGAAGTTTCACCATTGTTACCCAGACTGGAGTGCAATGGCACGATCTCAGCTCACCGGAACCTCCACCTCCTGGGTTCAAGCAATTCTCTTGCCTCAGCCTCCCAAGTAGCTGGGACTACAGGCGTGGGCCACCATGCCCAGCTAATTTTTGTATTTTTAGTGGAGACGGGGTTTCACCTTGTTGACCAGAATGGTCTCGATCTCTTGACCTCGTGATCCACCCACCTCGGCCTCTCAAAGTGCTGGGATTATAGGCATGAACCACCGCGCCCGGCCAATTTTTTTTTTTTTTTTTAAATAAAGCCCTGCTCTTGTCCCATAGGCTGGAGTGCAGTAGTGCGATTACAGGCATGCGCCACCATGCCCAGCTAATTTTTGTATTTCTAGTAGAGACAGAGGTTTACCATATCGACCAGGTTGGTCTCGAACTCCTGACCTCAGGTTATCCAACCGCCTTGGCCTCCCAAAGTGCTTCGATTACAGGCATAAGCCACTGCGCCTGGCTTTTAATAGGATTTTAAACCTGTTTCTTCCCCTTTAAAATAGAATAAGTATTCCATAACATTAAGAATTATTTATTGGTTGGGTGCGGTGGCTCACACCTATAATACCAGCACTTTGGGAGGCTGAGGTGGGTGGATCACGAGGTCAAGAGATCGAGACCATCCTGGTCAACGAGGTGAAACCCTGTCTCTACTAAAAATACAAAAATTAGCTGGGCATGGTGGCATGTGCCTGTAGTCCCAGCTACTCGGGAGGCTGAGGCAGGAGAATTGCTTGAACCCAGAAGGCGGAGGTTGCGGTGAGCTGAGATTGTGCCATTGCACTCCAGTCTGGGTAACAATGGCGAAACTTCGTCTCAAAAAAAAAAAAAAAAAAAAAAAATATATATATATATAAAAGAATTACTTATTAGTAATAAATATTTATTAATAGATTACTTATTAGTAAACTATAAAGAGATAAAACAGCAGAGATTGTTACCTACAAATAGAAGTTGACTAAGGACAAGAACAAACAAATGTCTATTTTTTTTTTGAGACGGAGTTTCACTGTTGATACCCAGACTGGAGTGCAATGGCACGATCTCGGCTCACCGCAACCTCCGCCTTCTGGGTTCAAGCAATTCTCCTGCCTCAGCCTCCTGAGTAGCTGGGACTACAGGCACGCACCACCATGCCCAATTAATTTTTGTATTTTTATTAGAGACAGGGGTTTCACCTCATTGACCAGGATGGTCTCGATCTCTTGACCTTGTGATCCACCCGCCTCGGCACACCAAAGTGCTGGGATTATAGGTGTCAGCCACTGCGCCCGGCCAACAAATGTCTATTTTTAGAATTTTGGCCAGGTATGGTGGCTCATGTCTGCAATCCCAATGCTTTGGGAGGCTTAAGACAGGAAGATTGCTTGAACAAGGAGTCTGAGACCAGTTGGGCAACAAACCAAGACCCCATCTCTACCAAAAAAAAAAAAAAAAAAATTGGCTGGAAACAGTGGTCCACAACTATAGTCCCAGCTCCTTAGGAGGCTGAGAAAGGATAACCAGAGCCCAGGAGTTTGAGGATGCAGTTGAGACAGGATAGTGCTACTGCACTCTACCATGGGTAACAGTGAGACCTGTCTCTTAAAAAGTTTTTCTTTCAGAATTTCACTTACAATCACCGACATGGGAAACAAAAACATGGGTACTGTGAAAACGAAAAACAGTGTGGGTTTTGTAGTAATTTGGGGTTTACTTCTATCCTAGGACCTCTGTCATTTTCCCTTAAAGCACCAGACTCCATGAAGTTAGTAAGCTTATACCTATGGATTCAGTTCTTCTGGAACCTGGTATACTCCATTTGCTGTTCAGCTGGAAAACATTTTCAGCCTTTCCAGCCTAATTCCAGAGCACCATGATTTATGGCAATGAAGATTCTTGAATTAAAACAGAAATTGAATTAAAAGAAATTGAGGCAGGTGGCCAGAACTGTGCTGAGCAAGAACCCTGCTGCTGCCACTGTCAGAAGTGTTGCCAACGACTAGAGAAATAAAGGGAAAAAAAGTCCTCTCCTTCTCTCTTCCTCCCACTTTACAGTCTCTTGGATTCAAATAAACTAGCAGGAAGCCAGCAGGCAAGAGAGTCTGGGAAATGTAGATCCCTAGATCTAGATCTGAGAATAAATAGACCCACGACCAGGATAACACAGGTTTTTATTTATTTTTTTTTTGAGACAGAGTCTTGCTTTGTCACCTAGGCTGGAGTGCAGTGGTGTGATCTCAGCTCACTGCAATCTCTGCTTCCCAGGTTCAAGTAATTCTCCCTGCCTTAGCCTCCAGAGTAGTTGGGATTACAGGCACCTGCCACTACACCTGGCTAAGTTTTGTATTATTTAGTAGAGATGGGGTTTTGCCATGTTGGCCAGGCTGGTCTTGAACTCCTGACCTCAGGTGATCCACCTACCTCAGCCTCCCAAAGTGCTGGGATTACAGACATGAGCCACCACACCTGGTCAGGACACATGGTTCTTAAGAGGCAAACACATTGCTTTCCACTGGCAACAGCAAAACGGAACTGCAAGTTAAAGCCTCAACTACTTCATTAGCTTGAAAAAGAGAAAATCTATGGCCCGGTGAGGTGGCTCATGTCTGTAATCCCAGCACTTTGGGAGGCTGTCAAGATGGGCAAATCACTTGAGGTCAGGTAGTGGAAACCAGCATGGCCAACAAAGTGAAACCCCATCTCTACTGAAAATATGGAAACAGGCCAGGCATGGTGGCAGGCACCTATAATCCCAGGTACTCAGGAGGCTGAGGCAGGAGAATCGCTTGAACCCAGAAGGCAGAGATTGCAGTGAGTAACCTGAGATTGTACTACTGCACTCAGGCCTGAGGCAACAGAGTGAGACTCAGTCTCCAAAAAAACAAAAAAAAAAAAAAAAAAAGGAGAAATCTACCAGCCTGGGATTATACCCCTCTCCCAAGATGTAGACATGTTCCTGCCTCTAGAAGTCAAAGAAACAAAAGACACAAGGCCATTATACATGGCAAAGTCTTTATTTTCACATTTACATTAAAACATAAAACAGAAACATTAAAACATAGTGTACAAACAGAGTTCTCACTGCCCTGTTTTCAAAGCAGGGGCAAGGATATGACAAGATATTTTGAGCTTAACTCCAAATCATCAAGTGGGGGGGAAAAAACCATAGATACACTGGCAAAGGAATGTGGTGGGGGCAGAGAGCCTGGTGGAACCCAGAAGACTAAAGCCTGCATCCATTCTCCTTGTCCCTATTACCATCTATGTGATGTCCTGCAACGGGGATTGGGAATGGGGACAAGGTTTTGTTTTCTGAGATAGAGCCAGCCTCGCTCTATTGCCCAGGCTGGAGTGCAGTGGCACAATCTCAGTATACTGCAAACTCCGCCTCCCAGTTTTAAGCGATTCCCCTGCCTCAGCCTCCCAAGTAGCTGGGACTACAGGTGCATGCCAAAAATAAAAAAAATAAAATTTTTGTATTTTATTACAAAATTTTAATTTCACCATGTTGGCCAGGCTGGACAAAGTTTTTTTCCTTTGGCGAAATTAGTCACAGTCACATGAATTTGCTTCCAAAGCACCCAAATTTAATGTACAACTGCAAGGACTGGCAAGACTTAGGATTCACCTAAGGTCTCTCATAGTTAAGTCCCTTGCTTCCTATTCTTAGGGCAATCAATCAGCATCAGTTAAGTGTACTTCAAAGCAAGGCAAATCCTAATCCTGCCCAGGCCCAAAGACGAAGCCAGCCAGCGTTTGACCGCCTATATCTTCTTGGTGGCAATCTGCTGAAGCCAGATGAGTTCTGCTTTTTAACTCCAATCCTATTCTGCCACTGCAACTCCAGGCCTGGGCAGCCACTCTTAATCATCAACATAATAAAAGGAATATCTCTTCTGAGAAAAGAGCTTTTCTTGAGTTCTAGAAGCTAGCTTTTACAAAAGACGTCTTCAAGTAAGGGCGGGGTACATTGGCCCATGCCTATAATCTCAGCACTTTAGGAAGCCAAGAGAGGAGGATTGCTTGAGGCCAGGAGTTCAAGACCAGCCTGGGCAAAATAGTAAAACATCCATTTCTACAAAAAATTTAAAAAAGGAAAAAATGATGTCCTAAAATACTACAGGGTCATTAAAAGGCACAACTAGAACTTGGAACTCTGGGGAAATCTACTGCAATAACCCCTTGCTGGAGAAAAAGATCTTAGAAAGAGGTCTTGGGGGCAGGGGGAGAAAAAAATAGCTCTTGAACTGACAGGTCTGAAGTGTTTTATAATAAAAACAGTAACATCTCTTCACCAATCATTTGAGAAAATAAGACTACGGACACTGACCTGCCCACATCTTTAAGCATATTCTGTTGAGGACAGTGGTTTGGTGAAGCAGTCTGAGCAAAGCAAAAAAATAAAATGTAACTCAGCCCTCTATTGGAGAGAAGTGACAGTCCCAAAGTTGGTCAACCCAGGTATGGAATGAATGTTGGTGGGTACCTCCCTGCCATTCGCATAGGCTTCCCAAACACTATTCCTGAGAATAGCCATTTTATTAACAACATTTTAAGAAGAGGTTAGGGAGGCAAATCAGAGGAAATTGGAATCAAACATCAGCTTCATATAGGGAAGGCTTTGCCTGGAAAGTATAAAAAACACTTACAAACAGCCCTCAGACTGAGGAATTGGCTTTATTTAGATAGGAACTCTTTCAAAATGGGACAAGTTTTTCTCATGTTTTCTTTTTTTATTTTTATTTGCTTATCTGACATCCAGGAACTTCTCATGTTTTCAACAGAGGTCTGAATAAATTTTGTAAACTTTTTATGTTATTGCTCCTAATCTCTGACACTAGGAGAGACTCAAGTAAAAGCTTTGACATACCCCTCTCATCTTTTCCAGGCAAGAGAGAGTGTTCTTCAAAGCACTAGCTTGGATAAAACCAATCCTGAGATCCTAGGCTGGCTAGAAAAAGCAAAGTATTCCCCACTGCTCAAACAACTGGCCTCTTTCCTTACTTCTCACAAAGCAATTTAGGAGAATTAGGAACTTAATGCACAAGTCATTAGCAAAGGGAATAGTTCACCAGCTGCTTCCATCACTAGGCCTGCCAATGTTCCAGCATTGCATACCTAGAACACAAGCATTGTTCCTGCCAGGCACGGTGGCTCACACCTGTAATCCCAGCACTTTGGGAGGTCAAGGCTGGCAGATCACGAGGTCAAGAGATCGAGACCATCCTGGCCAACGGGGTGAAACCCCATCTCTATTAAAAATACAAAAATTAGCTGGGCATGGCGATGCGTGCCTGTAGTCCCAGCTACTCCAGAGGATGAGGCAGGAAAATCACTAGAACCCGGGAGGCAGAGGTTGCAGGTTGCAGTGAGCCAAGATGACATTACCGCATTTCAGCCTGGGCAACAGAGCGAGACTCCATCTCAAAAAAAAAAAAAACAAAAAAACCACCAAGTGTTGTTGCCACAAAGCACACCCAGATGTGCTCTATCACATACTTCTGTGGGGATAAGACAACTTACTAAAAGACTGTCAGCCTTCAAGGTCAGAAATAAACCAGACATAAGGTTCTACAGTGCCCTCTTGTGTTCAACTGAATAATACTCTTACATCAGTATCAAGATGAAGGTTAGTCCTTAGATCATGGATACCTAAGTGACAAAACAACTCAGGTGGGGTGTCATATCCCCCAGAAAACACTTAAACACTTAATGCCCACACACATCCTAGATGACTGATGAGAGGACACTCTCCAAGGTCCAGAAAATCACATAGAAAATAAGAATTTCCAGCAAACAATAATGGTTAATGAAGGCTTTAAACCCAAGAAATGGATAATGTAGATAAAGTACCCATCAATTACTCTTTTAGTGGACATAACAGATACACAATCTGTTGTGTCTCAGCGACACAGAGACCTAGAATCATACTAATGGAACAAAACATGCTCTCCAATGTTCTAGGCTGCAGACAGTAAACAGCGATCTTGCTTGGGGCTGCTTGGTGCTAGCAAACAACATTTAAACCTAACCAGCAGCATGCCTGAAAGGTTTCAAGACCATGGTCACTCCCACTTATAGATGTGGACTACCTTCTCTGTTAAGGTGGCCAAGTAGCTATTATGGTTCACCTCAAATGGGCAGATGTCCAAGACAGGCTGAGCAGTCTGCAGTTCCTGGAGCAATGAGCCACTGGCAGCATCCCACAGCTGAAGAAAGCAAGCAGAGAGAGGGGTCAGAAGTCAATCAGTTCACCCAAGGGACTTGGCTTTCTTTATCATCAAATAAGTCAGAAAAGCCTGCAGAGAGAACACTACCTGGAGAGAAAAACAGGCCATCCCTAACCTTAGCAAGGTTATGCAAAGCCAGCACGCCTGACATAGTTCAGGTACAGCCTCACCTAATGTAATTAGCAATCAGTCTACCTGTAAGTAGATCTGAAAATAGAGCCCAGATTCCATTCCTTCAATCTATGTGCCAGGCTCATCGAGGGAGAGAAGGGCCAATAGATAAAGTCCCTGTCCTTGGCCTCATGGAATTCACCGTTTTTTTGGGGGGGGGCGGCAGGGGGGAGTCAGAGTCTTGCTCTTATCACCCAGGCTGGAATGTCCTGGCATGATCTTGGCTCACTGCATCCTCCACCTCCCAGGTTCAAGCGATTCTCCTGCCTCAGCCTCCCAAGTAGCTGGAACTACAGGTGCTTGCCACCACACCCAGCTAATTTTCTTGTATTTTTGGTAGAGATGGGGTTTCACCATGTTGGCCAGGCTGGGCTTGAACTCCTGACCTCAGAAGATCTGCCTGTCTTGGCCTCCCAAAGTGCTGGGATTACAGGCATGAGCCACTGCGTCTGGCCTCTAAAAATTTATTATTGGCCAGGCATGGTGGCTCACACCCGTAATTCCAACATTTTGGGAGGCAGAGATGGGAGGATACCTTGAGGATAGGAGATTGAGACCAGCTAGGGCAATATAGTAAGATTCCCATGTCTACAAGAAATTTAAAAATTAGCTAGGTGTGGTGGTGCATGCCTGTAGTTCCAGCTACTCAAGAGGCTGAAAGAGAATTGCTTGAGCTAAGGAGGCTACAGTGAGCCATCATTACACCACTACATTCCAGCCAAAACAGGGCAAGATACTGTTTCTTTAAAAAAAAAAAAAAAAAAAAGCAAAGAAAAACATTTTAAAGTATTAAAAAGTAGAGATAGCCAGGCATGGTAGCATACACCTGCAGTTCCAGCTACTTGGGAGGCTGAAGCATGAGAATCACTTGAAGCCAGGAGGTGGAGGTTGCAGTAAGCCAAGATCGCACCTCTGTGCTCTAGACTGGGTGACAGAGACCCTTTCTCAAAAAAAAAAAAAGTAGAGAGGGCCAGGCACAGTGGCTCATGCCTATAATCCCAGCACTTTGGGAGTCTGAGGTGGATAGATCACTTAAGGTCAGGGGTTCAAGACCAGCCTGGCCAACAAGGCAAAACCCCATCTCTACTAAAAATACAAAAACAGCCAGGTAGCGTGGTGCACTTCTATAGCTACATGGGAGGCTGAAGCAGGAGAACTGCTTGAACCCAGAGGTGGAGGTTGTGGTGAGATGAGATGGCGCCATTGCACTCCAGCCTGGATAAGAGCAAAACTCGGTCTCAAAAAAAAAGAAAAAAAAAGACATTTTCTTATATCTGGCATAACGTTATCATGTACAACAAAATTAACAATGCTACAGTATTATCTAATACCTGGTGCATAATCAGCATTTTCTGGTATCTTTTTATATCCAGTTTATTTGAATCAGGATCAAGTAAGGTCTACATTACATCTGGTGTTTATAAATTATAATTGCCTCTTTTAACCTAGATCAGACCCAACCTTCCCACCTTTTTTCTTCTGCCATTGACTTATTGTGGAAGCTGGGTCAGCTGTCTTAGTGAACACCCTGCACCTGGATTGGTGTATATGCTTTCTGTGCTTTCATTAAACTTGTTCTCCTCTATTCCCTGAAACTCCAGTCAATGAAAGTTAGCGCTAGCTTCTAGAGTGGCACTATACAATATGGTGGCCTCTAGTTACATAAGTTACTTATATTTAACTTGATTAAAGTAAAACATTAAGTTCTCCTGTGGCACTAAGCACACTTAAACTGCTCATGTGGCTAGTGTGACTGCATTAAAGGATGCTGCTCTAAGCCTTAATTAGACTCAGGTTCATGAACAACTTGGCCAGGTGCAGTGACTCACTCCTGTAATCCCAGCACTTTGGGAGGCCCAGGCTGGCAGATAACTTGAGGTCAGGAGTTCAAGACCAGCCTGACCAACGTGGTGAAACCCCATCGCTATTAAAAATACAAAAATTAGTCAGACGTGGTGGCAAGTGCCTGTAATCCCAGCTACTCAGGAGGCTGAGGCAGGAGAATCACTTGAAATGAACTAGGGAGGTGGAGGTTGCAGCAGTGAGCCAAGATCATGCCACTGCACTCCAGCCTGGGTGACAGACAGATTATTGCCTCAAAAGAAAAAAAAAAGGCCAGGCGCAGTGGCTCACGCCTGTAATCCCAGCACTTTGGAAGGCCAAGGCGGATGGATCACGAGGTCAAGAGATCGAGACCATCCTGGCCAACATGGTGAAAACCCATCTCTACTAAAATTACGAAAATTAGCTGGGCATGGTGGCACACGCCTGTAGTCCCAGCTACTCAGGAGGCCGAGGCAGGAGAATTGCTTGAACCTGGGAGGCAGAGTTTGCAGTGAGCCGAGATTGGGCCACTGCCCTCCAGTCTGGCACCTGGCAACGAAGCGAGGCCTGTCCCCCCCCCAAAAAAAAAGACATCTCATAGGGAGCACCATGTGCTTCCTATTGTCATCACATCAAAAAGACCCAATTATTTTTGGTTAACCCACCTACAGTGATGCTAAAATTGATCAACATGTTCAGGTAGTGACAGGCTGATTCTTCCACTGTAAAATTCCCCGTCAGTCTTTCATCTGTTTGTTTAATCCTGAATTGATGAAGCTGAGGCCTGAATTAATTATTTTATTGAGGTTTCAGTACTGTCTTTACTTTCCTTCTTTAAAGATTCACACAGTATGACCCCTGGAACTGTGGCTCCACAAGAATGAGGTGACTCTACATATATTGAAATGGAAACATCTCTAAGATAGGAAGTTAAATGGGAAAAGAAGAAATTATGAAGCAGTATGGAAAGCACAACTCATATGTAAACCAGGCACTGTCACATACACACACATGTGGATATGTGGGATTACATAGCAGAACTTTTTTGCTTTATGAGCTTCTGTAAAAAATGTTCAAGTTTTCCCTTACCAATATTTTAAGCAAAACTACTTTTTACATGAAAGTAAAAAATTACAGGCTCACCAGGGCAGAATTTGCTGCTTCATCCCCAGTACAGACCAGGATGTTGCCATCATTCTCTGGGCTTTGGAAAATGGCATTTTTGGTCAACAGTTTGCAAGTGGGTCCTCCAAAAAATGTATGTACAGGCTGGCAGGAGCAGACCAGATTTCCAGTGTCATCCAGTCTGTAGGACATTTCCATCAGCACACTTCTTATTGTGGTATGATTTTTATCTATGGGACAGAGAAATCAGTGCTGCACCATGGGTATGCTACAAAAAACATTAACCAAGTACCCAAACCTCAGACACTTACTTACAACTTACTTGGATGGAAAAGCCATAAATGCAATAAACCATCAAAAATAGCTACAAAAAAAAAAATAAAAGGACAAGAACAAAATATCACAGCATCAATGAAATTCAGAACCGCAGGCTAGAAATCAAGTTATCTACAATAGCTTTTTGCTTAAGAGAAAAACAATTCTGAGTGAGTTACCTGTTTTAGTAAGATCAGTCTCCTAACAGACCTCTGCTGGGGGATTTCTCTCTCAAGAATTCTCAGTAAAAGGTTTTTCCCTTCCCCCAGTGAGAACTTCATTAGCCCTAGGGACTGCACTTTTTAATAAAGTGAAAGCATACAAACATGTATTTGAAATTCTGCTGGGAGGCAAACAAAAGCCAGAGAACAAAATAGAACCCCGAGGCTTTCTACACCAGTCACAGCAATCACAGTCTTGGAGATAGCAGAGCTGTGGGATGACAAAGAGCCCAAGGGTCTTTAGAGTGAAGTGCTACTGAGATGTTTGTCAGCTCAAACAAAACTGAAAAACATGAGTAGATCTACCCACAACTAGAAGTGGGGGCATTTAATGACTTAACTCTATAAATTTGTTTAATACAATTGTTACCTCAGCATCTGTTTTTAGGGCTCACATAAATTATTTGAAACCCAGATGTACCCTGTCAACTTTGGCCTAGTTACAATGTCCCTTCCCTGAGTGAGGTTAGCAATATAGCCCATTTGTCCCTCCCCTCAACCCCCACCCCGCCCCTAGGGTGGCCTATCCTGGATGGCCTAACCCCTTCTTCCCATTGGCACTCTGAAGCATGCTGCCCTCTTTTCTTTGGGATCTATCAAGTAAGCTGTTTCCGTCATTTCATGTGTTTTATGCACTGCCTTCTTTGCATCTCACTTGACCAACACACCTGAACCTAGCTTCTTTCGTATTCAGGGCTCTCCTAGAGAGTCGCTATCTCAAAGGAAATAACTTGGACCTGAGTCAGACAAAAGCCACAAGGGTACATGCCAGTATAAACAAGTTCCCTGTGAAAGGGCACCTGGTCATGCGTCAGACAGGCATTAGGCCATCTACCAGGACAAAGGAGTATCCTGTGAAAGACACACTATGAACATTCACAAACAACTCCCTTGAGCTTGGCAGGACAGGGCTATATATAGCCACTCTACTGACAGAGATCTCAAGACCAAATTAGAAAGAAAAAACTTAAAACGCTGGCCATCAGTACAGTTTACCAGGAATTTAGATTCGTGTCACTTAGCCTAGAAGGAAGCTGTGAATGAAGCACAGTCTGCTCTTAGGGGTTCCACCTCTGATTCCAAAGACAGAAATGTTCAGCTGGCTGAGCCCACACAACCACTGTTGTCCATCTCCCCTTATTTACCAGTGTTGGCCCAAATAAGGAGGAATAGACAATACGTTGGGTACTACATGGCGGCCCTAATCTGGGCTTTTCTCTCAGGGGAAGTAAGGGACAGGCAGAAGACAAAAAAGTGATCTCAACGTGGCTCAATGACCTAAAGAGCTGGCCCCCTCATTCCACTACTGTTCTAAGTTGCAGGAGCTCCTGAGTGGCTAATTCACTTCCAGAAGGACCTGGCAGAATATGCTTCAGTCCTCACATGTAAGAAGCAGGAAGGCAGGCTCTGTGGGGGAGTTTGGAGACACCATCCTTCCTATAGTAGCAAGAGCTACGACATATCTTATTAGCCTGTGAGGGGTACCACAGCCACCCAAAGGATAGGATCAAACTCTCCTTCCCTCTTCTCTACCATTGTGTTCCCAAATAAACCAAAGGAGGCCGCACAAGGACATTCCACTACTCACCAGGCCTGTAGGTCACAAGACAGTGCCGGGAGCTGTTTTCTGTCTGAAAGTCTATGCAGCCCCCTGGCTCCAAGGGCAGCACATGAGGCCAATGAGTAAAGTCCGTTTTCCGTTCCCAGAAGGAAGCATCCTCCAAGTTTCCAGCCAGCACCCCACCATATGGAAATGCAGCTGAGGCAGCTCTGGACATGTATGACAGGGAGACCAGTGGACATCTGAAGGAAAAGAAAGGAAACTGTATCTTACATTCCAAAACTCGGATGGCTCTAGACCCCTCTACCAGGAATCCTCAAGCACATCCCTACCTCTAGAGGTTAAACACCTTTAGTCACTATCCTCTGACATCTGATAAAAATTATCACCTTCTCTGTAGAAACAAAAGAGTATACATATAATATTCTGCACCTAATTTCAAGGGAGATACCACATAGTCTAGAAAAAAAAAAAGGAAAAAAATAACTAGGAAATTTAAGGGATAAAAAGATCACAATTTACTGGGAAGCTTGTGGAAATGCGGTTAGCCACATACAAAGAAAAGTCAGGGAAGAAACAAACTTAAATACATAACAAAATAAAGATTCCAAATTGTAGCTGACAGACCCCACAATTAAAATACAGCTAAAAGCAGCTACATTTAAATTCAGAAACAGGACTGTTTTAGATTTTCTAAATTTCCTTCTGCAAGCATATGACCAGAACTATACGCCAAGAATTCTCTCAGAAATATCATCCTTCAAACCGTGTTCCTAGGAACTCATTTCTGCTGTGAACTCCTTCATGCCAAAGTTGCCGAAGTGTCTACTTTGCCTGTTTTATTTCATTTTCCCTGTCACAATAAAGGTAATCAAAGTAAACAAAAATAAAAATGAACAATACATACAAATACTCTTTCCTTGCCATTTAAAAACTTGCTGGGTTTTAGTTTGGTACTTGCTGGGCATTGTGGCTCATGCCTGTAATCCCAGCATTTAGGGAAGCCAATGTGGGAGAATCACTTGAGGTCAGGGGTTTGAGATTAGCCTGGCCAACACGGTGAAACCCCTGCTAAAAATACAAAGTTAGCCAGGAGAAATACCCAGGAGGCAGAGGACGCAGTGAGCCAAGACTGTGCCACTGAACTCCAGCCTGGCTTACAGAGTAAGACGCTGTCTTAAGAAAAAAACAACAACAACAACAAAAAAACCTGCCACCAACAAAAAAAACCTTGCTGTATTTTACTGTCTATTCTATGTGGGCACAGGTTTCAGTAAATAATTATTACTTCATTGATATCTTTATGTTTAGCTCTCCTTGCTCTTTTTAATATATCCAGTTGGAAACAAATTATCTCTTAGGATACTTTTCTTTTTTTTGAGACGGAGGAGTTTTGCTCGTTACCCAGGCTGGAGTACAATGGCGCGATCTCTGCTCACCGCAACCTCCGCCTCCTGGGTTCAGGTAATTCTACTGCTTCAGCCTCCTGAGTAGCTGGGATTACAGGCACGTGCTACCATGCCCAGCTAATTTTTTGTATTTTTAGTAGAGATGGGGTTTCACCATGTTGACCAGGATTGCCTCGATCTTTTGACCTCGTGATCCACCCACCTCGGCCTCCCAAAGTGCTGGGATTACAGGCATGAGCCACCGCGCCCGGCTAGGATACTTTTCATTTTGGTCAGATCACAGACCCTACACCCTTTCTGAGAACTTTATACCTACAAGGCAGCTCAACACATTCTAAGACATAGTGGTGCTGGTGGCCATCCATCCTTAGAACTTGGGCTGACTTTATAAACTTCTCAATCTCGTAAATGGATTAAATGATAAATAATAATACAGTATCTTCAAACAAGCTGGTTTAGCTTGCTCTCTTCCTATATGCTAGACATGTGGCTATTAAAGCAAGTGGCCTACACTTACCAGATTTTACAGATGAAGCTTTCAATGGGCCAAGAAATACAACCAAGGTCACACAACTTGTAAGTAGTGGAGCTGAACAGAGATCTGACTCTATTTTGCCATGTTAGATGATTACTGATTATGAACCTGGCTATAATTATACCAGAATGCTCTGTCATATGAAATATCATGGATATAAACTCTTATTAATAAGAATGTTATTGATTCTGAAGTGACATCAAGTGAATCTTCAAAAACTCTTGTATTTCTGACCAACTGTGGAACACCCTCTGAAGAAACAATGAACACAATAATAAGCCAAGAGAAAGCTACTACTACCAGGAAGACAGTAAGTGACTCCCTACCTGGCTTTCTGAGCTACTAACTCCTGGACATGACTGCTTGTGTTTCGCATGTCATATACTAGAATTGAACCATTGGCCAGTCCAGCATACATGTAGTTATTCTCATCAAGACACCAGCAACAGCTCCAGACAGGACGTCCAGCATTGTAAGTCTGGACCACGGTGTTTGTCTCCAGGCTGTGGAGTTAAAAGAGACTTTTACAACTGCATTAAAAAAATCCAATACATGACAAAGATGTAAAGAGCATCATTTAAATGATCCTTAATCCTTAATTGAGAACACACTCACACGCCCAAAATATCTGGATTCCCTAATTTTTCTAAGGTCTGCCCAGGTAAATCCTTTAAATTCTAGAACATTTGTTTTGGGGGCCACAGGTTTTCCTCTTGAATTGTAAGGAAGTAAAAGAATAAAGGGGCTGGGCATGGTGGCACACCCCTGTAATCCTAGTATTTTGGGAAGCTGAGGCAGGCAGATCACTTGAGGTTAGGAGTTTTGAGACCAGCCTGACCAACATGGCAAAACCCTACCTCTACTAAAAACACAAAAATTAGCGAGGTGTGGTCAGCTGCAGTGGTTCACACCTGTAATCCCAGCACTTTGGGAGGCTGAGGCGGGTGGATCACGAGGTCAAGAGATTGAGAACATCCTGGCCAACATGGTGAAACCCCTGTCTCTAGTAAAAATACAAAAATTAGCTGGGTGTGGTGGCACTTGCCTGTAATCCCATCTACTTGGGAGGCTGAGGCACAAGAATCACTTGAACCCAGGAGGCAAAGGTTGCAGTAAGCCAAGATCCAGCCACTGCACTCCAGCCTGGCGACAGAGTAAGACTCTATCTAGAAAAAAAAAAAAAAAATTTAGCCAGGTGGCAGACAACCATAATCCCAACTACTTGGGAGGCTGAGATAGGAGAATCACTTGAAACCAGGAGGTGGAGACTGCAGTGAGCCACGATCATGCCACTATACTCCAGCCTCAGTGACAGAGTGAGACTCTCTCTCTCAAAAATAAGTAAGTAAGTAAGTAAGTGAGGGTATAAAACAAGTCATCATGGTACCCAAGGGCAGTGAGTGCTTGGTGAACATCTCTGTTACTCAGAATTATCCAGGTAACAGACCAGGACCAGGAGTAAGCAGTTCCAACCTGGTATGGTGACTCTGTGATGTCAGGTACCAAAGCTCCCCCTATCCTATCATTCCACAAACTTTATTTTTTTATTATTTTTATTTATTTACTTACTTTGAGACAGAGCCTTGCTCTGTTGCCCAGGCTGCAGTACAGTGGTGCGATCTCAGCTCACTGTAACCTCTACTTTCAGGCGATTCTTCAAGTGATTCTCTTGCCTCAGCCTCCCTGGTAGGCTGGATTATAGATGCCTGCCACCATGCCCAGCTAATCTTTGCATTTTCAGCAAAGACGGGGTTTCACCATATTGGCCAGGCTAGTATTGAACTCCTGACCTCAGGTGATCTGCCTGCCTCGGCCTCCCCCAGTGCTGGAATTACAGGCGTGACCCATCACGCCTGGCCTCCACCAACTTTAGAATTTTATTCTCATCTCCTTAAAATATGCTTTAGACATCTTTTGGAACATATATAATTTTAACAAAACAGGATACTACACTTAGTTTTGTAACCTTCTGTGTCCATTTCTAAAAGCAATATATTTTAAATGGATCTCACAAGACTATGTCTCAGATCAGAAAAAACAGAGCTAAGGTCATCATAATACTGATATTAATTTTATGCTACTCAACACTAAACAGTCCAGTCTCCACCTTCCTCCCCAAATCACTCACCTGGTCAGTTTAATAGTGTTGTCTAGGGAAGCAGATAGTAGTAAGCCTCTGGAGCAACTGTTAAAAGCTAGTCCACGGATCTGTTTGCCATGCATCGGAATGTACTGACTGCTTTTCATGTTGGCAGTACTCAACATCTTAACACCAAAGCCTGTCAAAGGCAAGAGAGTATAAAACAGATCACTAAAAGTGAACCTAGGGCAATGCAAATTACTTTTTCAAGTAGCTCCTTTGTCCACCTTTGTTGGCATGTAAGTCCTTGGGAACCAGCTGGTCAAACAAAATAAAAATTCTCCTATGTTATTATTTATTTATTTATTTATTTTTGAGACAGGGCCTTACTCTGGCACCCAGGCTCGAGTGTAGTGGTGTAATCTCGGCTCACTACAACCTCCACCTCCTGGTTCAAGCGATTCTCCTGCCTCAGCCTCTCGAGTAGCTGGGACTACACGCATGTGCCACCACGCTTGGCTAACTTTTGTATTTTTTGGTAGAGATGGGGTTTCATCGTATTGGCCAGGCTGGTCTCAAACTCCTGGCCTCAAGTGATCTGCTCATCTCAACCTTCCAAAGTGCTGGGTTTATAGGCATGAACCACCATGCCTGGCCTATAATTTATTTTAAAAAGTACAACCCAGGCTGGGCACAGTGGCTCATGCCTGTAATCCCAGAACTTTGGGATGCCAGGGTAGGTGGATCACCTGAGGTCAGGAGTTTGAGACAAGCCTGGCCAAGATGGTGAAATCCTGTCTCTACTAAAAATACAAAAAATTAGCTGGGTAAGGTGATGGGTGCCTGTAATCCCAGCTACTCGGGAGGCTGAGGGAGGTGAACTGCTCAAACCTGGGAGGCAGAGGTTGCAATAAGCCGAGACTGCACCATTACACTCCAGCCTGGGCAACAAGAGTGAAACTCTGTCTCAAACAAAACAACAAAAAACGAAAAGAAAAAGAAAAGAAAAAAAGTACAACCCATGCTTGCCTCATGACCATGAAGAGAAGAAAAAGAAGAAAAATTATATTCCATTCCAAATGTCCAGGTAAATGGATAAACAAGTCTATGGTATACACATATATGGAATACTACTCATTAAAAAGGAATTAACTACTAATATACACTACAATAAAAAATTATGCAGAGAGAAAGAAGTCAGACCAAAAAATAATACTGTATGATTCCTTTTAGGTAAAATCCTAGAAAATGCAAACTAATCTGTAGTGACAAAAAGCAGTGACTGTGTGGGGACAGTGTGGGGACAGAAACAGGAGGGTGGGGCAGATGAGATTACAAAAGGCCATAGGGGAACTTATGGGGTAATACATATGTTCATGGCTGAGTGTGGTAACTCACGTCTGTAATCCCAGCACTTTGGGAGGTTGAGGTGGGTGGCTTGCTTGAACTCATGAGTTCAAGACCAGCCTTAGCAATATGGTGAAACCCCATTGTTACAAAAAACACAAAAATTAGCTGGGTGTAGTGCTGTTAGCCTATAGTCCCAGCTACTTGAGAGGCTGAGGTGGGAGGATGGCTAGAGCCCAGGATGTAGAGGTTGTAATGGGCTGAGATCACGTCCCTCTCCCTGCATTCCAGCCTGGGCGATAGACTAAATCCTGTGTCAAAATAAATAAATAAATAAATAAATAAATAAAATAGAGATCCCATCCCTCTCCCTGTATTCCAGCCTGGGTGACAGAACTAGATCTTGTGTCAAAAAAAAAAAAAAAAAAAGATAAAATAAAGTTATCGTGATTGTAGTGATGGTTTTAGGGGTGCATTACATATGTGAAAACTCATTAAAATGTATACGTTGAATATTTACAGTTTATTACCTGTCAATTATACTTCAATAAAGCTGTTGAGACAGAATATTTCATTTGAAACACAGACACTCTAGATGCAGAAGATGATAAAGATATGAAATGATAAAGAATGAAAATAAATCATTTGTCAAGATACGTCACATCTGTGTGAAATGAAACATGACATTTCAAAACGCACATTCCTGAAGGGGGAAAATAACCAACAAAAATATGTCCTTTCTTTTTTAATTTTTTTAATTGAGATGGAGTTTCACTCTTGTTACCCAGGCTGGAGTGCAATGGCGCGATCTCAGCTCACCGCAACCTCCACCTCCTGGGTTCGGGCAATTCTCCTGCCTCAGCCTCCTGAGTAGCTGGGATTACAGGCACGTGCCACCATGCCCAGCTAATTTTCTGTATATTTAGTAGAGACGGGGTTTCACCATGTTGACCAGGATGGTCTCGATCTCTTGACCTCGTGATCCACCCGCCTCAGCCTCCCAAAGTGCTGGGATTACAGGGGTGAGCCACCGCGCCTGGCCTTTTTTTATTTTATTTTAAAAGAAATGGGGTTTCTCCATGTTGGCCAGGATGGTCTAGATCTCCTGGCCTTGTGAACTCAGCCTCCCAAAGTGCTGGGCACCGTGCCCAGCCTAAAAATGTCCTTTCAAAACTATTAAGTACTTTATGTATGTGTGTGTGTATATACGTACATATATACGTATATATATGTACACACACAGACTGGTAGATATCTCAACTAGGTGGCCAAGCATGGTGGCTCAGGCCTGTAATCCCAGTACTTTGGGAGGCTGAGATGGGTGGATCACCTGAGGTCAGGAGTTCGACAGACCAGCCTAACCAACATGCTAAAGCCCTGTTTCAAATACAAAAATTAGCCATGCATGGCGGCATGCACCTGTAGTCCTAGCTACTTGGGAGGCTGAGGCAGGAGAATCTCTTGAACCCAGAAGGCAGAGGCTGCAGTGAGCTGAAATCATGCCTGCCACTGCACTCCAGCCCGTGCATAGAGCAAGACTCCATCTCAGAAAGAAAAAATAACAACAACAAAAAAAATCAATAAGGTAACGTAAGTATACACCGAGTTAATCATTTAAGGACAAGGACAAACCAGCACCAGTACACTATCAAGCAGGCTGCAATGGACACTTTAAGAAAAAAAAGAATAGAACACATTCCCAATGTGGGGGACATTACAAGATAGAATTTTTCCAATTTGTTGGTTTTGATGACAAATATTTATTAAAAACTTAGATGGGATAAAGGAATATTACAAAATTATCCTTTTACTTTCCCCTCAATTGGGGGAGGCCCCTGATAGCCTCTCAACTCAGACCTGGTATCAGTGAATAGAAAAATTTATGACAACCTAGAGATTCCACTCAACCTTTCATACACCTAAGTTTAGTAGACATAATTTTGAAGCATCTGAATGAAAGCTCTAAGTGGGAAAACAGTAGAAACCACACAAGAGAAAAGGGGTCTCACAATTGGCAGAAATCTTACACTGAAGATAGCAGAAAGAAACATATGCAAGATTTAGAAATGATTTAATTGAGCATTTGAAAAGACTTGGTTTTCAACATTTAGAAAATCTAAAATTAAGCTTAAAAAGCACAAAATATATTGAGAGAACATTAACCTAATATTAATAAAACAATCAGTGTACTTCCTAAATTCTCTTATTTGGAAACTGTTAACCTGAATACTACTGAAAATAAGTATTCAATTTGTTTCACCTTGAATTAACCCTTAGAGTAGTGCTTTGTCAAACATTTCCAGTCTAAAATGAATCTGTAAGTTGAATAAGACATATAGTCCTTGGACTATATCAAGGACTTCACCATCTCCTGCTTTACCATGGTTATCAGTATTCCAACTTTTTTTTTTTTTTTTTGAGATGAAGTTTTGCTGCCGTTGCCCAGGTTTGAGTGCACTGGTGAGATCTCAGCTCACCACAACCTCTGCCTCCTGGGTTTAAGCGATTCTCCTGAGTAGCTGGAATTACAAGCATGCACCACCATGCCTGGCTAATTTTGTATTTTTAGTAGAGATGGGATTTCTCCATATTGGTCAGGCTGGTCTCAAACTGCCAACCTCAGGTGATCTGCCCACCTCAGCCTCCTAAAGTGCTAGAATTAAAGGCGTGAGCCACCATACCTGGTGGTTATCAGTATTTCTACCCTCTTTGTTAATAAATTTATGGAAGGAAGTCAATAGACAGTAAAGACATCTTTGCAGCACCCTGAGGTACTTGCATTAACAAGGGACTGATAGGGAAAGGTAATTTGGTGAGCTGTGGTGTTTGCCCACTATTGAGTCTTGAATCTTTCAAAAAGGGAGAGGAAATAAACATATGAAGTCTAATAAAGAACATGAAAATTGGGGTTCTAGACTGTTTACCTGGAAGAAAAGAGGCCTGAGGAGAAGGCTGTGATATCACCAGGCAGCTCAGGGCATCACAATATGCCATGGTCCGGCAGTTTCCTGTCTGAGATACTGTGAAGGTCTTTTGGAAGTGGTATTTGTGCTGGCCCTGGCTGGAGGGTAAGCCACTCAAGACACATGCTTGGGAGCCCCTGGGTTGCTTTAAGTTCTGATTTTGATGTGACATAAGTCTTTGCAAGTCCTAAAATGAAAAAGATTTTGTAAATATAAAGCTTTTCATTTCATATTCCGTTCAAACACAATTCCTTGATCTTATACAGAAAGATTTCTTATCCATCACACGAAAATGTTAACATGAATCCTAGACAACTGCTGAGTTTTTACAGTATTTCAACAAGCAAGTGAAATAAAGAGAGCACAGCATTATAATGTAAGGGGTAGAAGTCCTTAATGGTGGTTTTGTTTGAAGTCCTTTAAGAAAAAAAAAAGACAGGGTCTCACTCTGTCACACATGCTGGAATGCAGTGGTGCAAGCTCATTGCAACCTTCAAACTCCTACTAAAGCCCTTATATGACTGGTAGATTTAGGAAAGTAAAATTATTTAAACAAGTTTGGAATTCTTAGCTGGTTATTTAATTCTTTCTAAAATTCAGATTGTAAAGCCAGGTGCAGTGGCTCACCTGAGGTCAGGAGTTTGAGACCAGCCTGGCCAATAGGGTGAAACCCAGTTTCTACTAAAAATACAAAAATTAGCTGGGTGTGGTGGCAGGCACTTGTAATCCCAGCTACTTGAGAGGCTGAGGCAGGAGAACTGCTTGAACCCAGGAGGTGGAGGCTGCAGTGAGCCAAGATCATTATCACTGCACTCCAGCCTAGGTGAAAGAGTGAGACTCTGTCTCAAAATAAATAAATAAATATATAAAATAAAATTCAGACTATAGGTATCATAAAGTATGTAGTAAGCTTTGAACAGATTCCCTAATCAGAAATAAAATAAGGAGTTGGTCATGTTTATTTTCTTAACAACTTGGCAAATCCTATTTATTTCTGAGATGAATATACGTAACATTCTTCCATTCCTATTCCAAAAGTTCTTTGGGTTAGAAAGGACGAACGTACCTGAACACGGCTTTGAAGCCTAGTGCACTCATCAGTGAGGACCTGGAGTTGGAGCCGGCACTGTGCTGATTCTAACTCGGCCTGCTTCCTTAGCATCTGCTCCTTCAGTAGGGAACTAGAGGGGTAAAGCCAGTAACACGTGGGGATTAGGAAGGCTAGAGAAGACTTCCCATCAAGAGAGCAGAGTTCAGTTCATGCTATGATGCACATACTTTGCTGTAAATATGTAATGACAGTGACAGATTTTGAGGTAAGCAGGGAGTGATGGTCAGGAATTGGACTACTACTAAAAAACAGTGACTCAAAATGCCATAGGCAAAACAAGAGAACAGCCAATCTAGTGCTTTAACTAAGGCAAATTATAAAAGATTAAACTGATATATTAAAAGGCCAAGGTTATTGGATTAAAAAGAAAATAAGCCTTTCATTGTTTATGAGATACTCAAATAATATAACCCCCAAAAGAATCTGAAGTGTTTATCAAGCAAACACTAACAAAAGACCAATTAGAAATAAGGAAAAAGCATAAATAGGCAAAAGGAGGAACAACGTAACATAAGGACAATTCACCAAGAATAACAATCATACTTTTGTATGAACCTAAAAACAGGCTCAAAATATGAAATGCAAAGACAGAATTCCACTCCAATGAGATATGGAGGAAAAAGATATAAAAATTGGAAGAGATAAAGCTGTTCTTATTAGGTTTATGGCAAATTCAAGAGAATCCACAAACAATTACAGTTTAGCAAGGTTGCTGGACTCAAGACCAAGGAAATTAGATCAATAGTGGACCCCATATCAGACAACTGATTAGTAGATGTAATTTTAAAAATGTATTCACAACAATTTTAATAGCAATCTAGAAATACAGTCATGTGTGGCTTAATGATATGGGTATGTTCTGACAAACATGTTGTTAGGCGATTTTGTTATATGAACATTACACAATGTACTTATAGAAACCTATACAGTATAGCCTACTACACACCTAGGATACTGTTGCTCCCAGGCTACAAACTTGTATAGCATGTTATCATACTGAATACTATAGGGAATTATAGCATGTTATCATACTGAATACTATAGGGCATTTATGTATCTAAACATAGAAAAGGTAATGCATTGTGCTAAGATATTTCTTTTCTTTTTTTTTTCTTTTGAGACTGAGTCTTGCTCTGTGGCCCAGGCTGGAATACAGTGGTATGATCTTAGCTCACTGCTATCTCTGCCAGGTTCAAGAGATTCTCCTGCCTCAGCCTCCTGAGTAGCTGGAATTACAGGTGCAAGCCACCACACCCAGCTAATTTTTGGAATTTTAGTAGAGACAGGGTTTCACCATGTTCCCCAGGCTGGTCTCAAACTCTTGGCCTCAAGTGATCCACCTGCCTTGGCCTCCCAAAGTGCTGGGATCACAGGTATGAGCCACCACAACTGGTGCACTAAGACATTTCAATGAACACAACATCGCTTACACAACAGAATTTTTCAGCTCCATTATAATCTTATGGGGCCACCATTGTACATGCAGTCTGTCACTGACCCAACGGTCATTATGCAGCATGTGACTGTAAAGTAAAAGGCTAGGCAGGACTTTTACAAAGCAAAATATACTTGTGAAAGACACAAGAAAACAGTGAATAAATGGAAGGATATTACATAATGTTCATGACTGGAAAGACTAATCATAACAAAAATGGTACTTCCTACCTAAGTTATTCTGTAAATTTGATGTAATTTCAATCAAGATTCCAAAGGTTTTTTTCACGAAACTTAAGAAATGAACTTTAAAAAATTAATATGGAGAACAATGCCAAAAATAGCAAAAGACACTTTTGCAGAACAAGGTGGGGGGACATATTTTAAACTACAGTAAATTATAACTTGGAATATTGGAGCAATAATTAACAAAAAGACCCTGGAACAAGAGTACAAGTAGTGTCCCTTATCTAGTTTCATTTCCCATGGTTTCCGACATCTTCTGTCAACCACAACCCACAAATATTGAGATATGGTGAGAGAGAGATGGAGACCACATTCCACATTCACATAACTTTTCTTACAGTATATTGGCATAATCGCTCTATTTTATTATTAGTTATTGTTGTTAATCTTTTACTGTTCCTAATTTATAAATTAACCTTTAGATTTGTATGTATAGGAAAAAAACACACTATAGTTTCAGGCATTCACTGGGGGCTCTCAGAAGGTGGCTAAGGGGGGACTATTGTAGTCCATTCATACATGAAAACTTGATTTTTTCTTTGAGACAGAGTTTCACTCTGTCGCCCAGGCTGAAGTGCGGTGACACGATCTTGGCTCACTGAAAACTCCGCCTCTTGCGTTAAAGCGATTCTCCCATCTCAGCTTCCTGAGTAGCTAAGATTACAGGTGGATGCCACCACTCCCAGCTAATTTTGTATTTTTAGTAGAGACGGGGTTTCACCATGTTGATCAGGCTGGCCTCAAACTCCTGACCTCTTGATCTGCCTGCCTTGGCCTCCCAAAGTGCTGGGATTACAGGCGTAAACCACTGCACCTGGCTGGAAACTTAATGTAGGATAGAAGTAGCAATGAACACTTGTACAGAAAAAATATACCAGTTAGTAAATCATGAGTCAGGTGTGGTGCCACGCGCCTGTAGACCCACATACTCGGGATGCTAAGGTTGGAGAACTGCTCGAGCCTAGGAGTTTGATGGCGCCACTGCACTCTGTCCTTTATGATAGAGCAAGACCCTGTCTCTGTGATAGAGCAAGACGTTGTCTTTTTAAAAAAAATTTTGACTGAAACATTCCTACAAATCAGTAAGAAACAAACAACCCAATACAAATGAATAAAAAATATGAATTCTTCTGCTCACAAAGGAGTACGTTCAACCTCAATTGTAATTAAGGTAATGTAAATTAAGGTGAAATACTACTTCATGAAACAAGACTGGGAAAAAATATTAAATCTACTATAAAATGGGCGAGGGGGCTGGGCGTAGTGGCTCATGCCTGTAATCCCAAAACTTTGGGAGGCTAAAAATCATGAGGTCAGGAGACCGAGATCATCCTGGCTAACAAGGTGAAACCCTGTCTCTACTAAAATTACAAAAAATTGGCCAGGCATGGAGGCATGCACCTGTTGTCCCATGTAGTTGGGAAGCTGTGGCAGGAGAATTGCTTGAACCCAGGAGAGAGAGGTTGCAGTAAGCCGAGATTGTGCCACTGCACTCCAGCCTGGACAATACAGCTAGACTCTATTTCAATAAATAAATAAAAAATAAAATTGGATTGGGTGCAGTGGCTCACACCTGTAATCCCAGCACTTTGGGAGGCCAAGGTGGGAGGATCACCTGAGGTTGGGAGTTCGAGACCAGCCTGACAACATGGAGAAACCCGTCTCTACTAAAATACAAAATTAGCCAGGCGTGGTGCCACACAGCTGTAATCCCAGCTACTCAGGAGGCAGAGGCAAAAGAACTGCTTGAACCCAAGAGGCAGAGGTTGCGGTGAGCTGAGTTCACTACATTGCACTCTAGCCTGGGCAACAAGAAACTGTCTCACAAAAAATAAACAAATAAAATTGGCAAGGGTATAGAAAAATGAGAAATCTCTCATTTTTTTTAAACAAGAGTAATTCGAAAATATCTAGGTAAAGCTGAAATAAATGTACCCTATAATAAAGCAATTCCATTGGTAGACCTGACTCTCATCAGCATGGCTGATATTAACAAAAACTGGAGACAACCTAAATGTCTACCAATATAAAATACAAACAGATAAATTTTGACTAGAGAACTAGAATATTATCATGAAACTGAAATGAAAAAAACTAGAGCTATGTGTATCAACAAGGATATACTCCCAAAACATAATATTAAGCAAAAAGGCAAAATACATAAGAAAAAATTATAATCTAACATAATATTTGCATAAAGTATAAAAACTTTCTAAATCATACTATGTATAATTTACAAATACATATGTAGTTGATCAAATACATAATCACTCTTGGGAATGAACACCTAATTCATGAAAGCAGTTACCTATGGAATTAAGGATAACTTAGTTCACAGGAGGGCTTCTAGTGTTCCTTCTTTTTCTTTTTTTTTTTTTTTTTTTTGAGACGGCGTTTCGCTCGTTACCCAGGCTGGAGTGCAATGGCGCGATCTCAGCTCACTGCAACCTCTGCCTCCTAGGTTCAGGCAATTCTCCTGCCTCAGCCTCCTGAGTAGCTGGGATTACAGGCACGCGCCACCATGCCCAGCTAATTTTTTTATTTTTAGTAGAGATGGGGTTTCACCATGTTGACCAGGATGGTCTCGATCTCTTGACCTAGTGATCCACCTGCCTTGGCCGCCTAAAGTGCTGGGATTACAGGCTTGAGCCACCGCGCCCGGCCGGTTCCTTCTTTTTCTGAGTCTTGCTCTGTTGCCCAGGCTGGAGTGTAGTGGCGCAATCTCGGCTCACAGTAACCTCCACCTCCCAGATTCAAGTGATTCTTGTGCCTCAGCCTCCTGAGTAGCTGGGGTGGCAATCATGTACCCTCATGCCTGGCTAATTTTTTTTATTTTGAATAGAGACAGGGGTTTTGGTTTTTTTTTTGAGATGGAGTTTCGCTCGTTACCCAGACTGGAGTGCAATGGCACCATCTCGGCTCACCGCAACCTCTGCCTTCTGGGTTCAAGCAATTCTCCTGCCTCAGCCTCCTGAGTAGCTGGGACTACAGATGTGCACCACCATGCCCACCTGACGGGGTTTCACCTTGTTGACCATGATGGTCTTGATCTCTTGACCTCGTGATCCACCCGCCTCGGCCTCCCAAAGTGCTGGGATTATACGCGTGAGCCACCGCGCTGGGCCTAAGACAGGGTTTTATCATGTTGCCCAGGCCGGTCTTGAACTCCTGAGCTCAGGCAATCTGCCTGCCTCAGCCTCCCAAAGTGCTAGGATACAGGCGTGAGTCACTGCGCCTGGCTCTTCTACATCTATAATTTACTTCTTTAAAATTTTCTTTCCTTTTTTTCCTTCTGCACCTGGTCAACAGATTTATCTTTATTTAAATTTTTTTTTTTTTTGAGACAGAGTCTTGCTCTGTCACCCAGGCTAGAGTGCAGTGGCACAACCACAGCTCACTGCAGCTGTAACTTCCTGGGCTCAAGCAATCTTCCCTTCTGAGTAGCTGGGACTACAGGTATGCACCACTACATGAGGCTAATTCTTTCCATTTTTGGTAGAGACAAGGTCTCACAATGTTGCCCATGCTGGTCTCAAACAATCCTCCTGCCTCAGCCTTCCAAAGTGCTGGGATTATAGGCATGAGCCACTAAATTCAGCCTATTTCTTTTCAAAAAGGCTCAAAGCAAATGTGGCAAAATATAAAGATTTGATAAAATTGGGTATAAGGCTGTTTGTTTTATTAGTCTGTGTTGGCATTTCGAAATTCTTTACTTTTTCTAAGGAGGCTGGAGAGTACACTAATTAACTATTGTAATCAGTGAATTGTTTTTAAATATAATCACCCATTAACAGCCACACCTATAGATTTTGCCTATTCAACAAAATTCCTCTCTGTATACATCTTCCATTATTTTAAAATGCTATAAGTGAGTACTAGTTGGAACAAATAAGTAAAAACAATGAAGAAAATTAAAATAATCTGTATGGTGACTACCTATAGTATTTTTTTTCTTTCTTTTAAAAAAAATTTTAAATACAGACAGGATCTCGCTATGTTGGCCAGTTTGGTCTTTAACTCCTGGTCTCAAGCAATCCTTTCACTTTGGTCTCCCAAAGTGCTGGATTACAGGAGTGAGCCATCGTGCCAGCTGTATTTTCTTTTTCTCGTTCACAAAAATACAGTCATACTAACATGCTTTCACAGGAGAACACATGCACACTTCAACACTATATAGTATTCTGTCCAGACACACACCACAGTTCACTCAACTAAGCAATCCTCTTGCCTTGGATTTTCAACAATGCTAAATGGAGTGTCATTAAGTAAATCTTCGTACACACCCTTTAATGATTCCTTAGAACAAATGCCTGGGCAATTATTATTAGCTCAAAGGCTTTGAGACACATTTCCAAGGACGTCTCAAAATGACTTTGCCTGTGTACATCCTAACCAATGAAGTGTAAGAGAATCCATGTCCCTTGCACCTCTCAATGGTGCGTATGTTCTTTAGTATTTTTGAAGCATATACTGAGTGGTGTTACTAGCAACTGTTTATGTGCTTCCAAAATCAAAGTAATTTTTTATATTGCACTGTATGTACAAAGCTTCACTTAAAGAATTTTCTGTATAGAGAACTGCTGGGGGACTCTCACAGACATGAGAAGCAAAAATGGCAACAGTTAAGTAATGTGCCAGATCCTTGTTTAATGCTGTATGTTTAATGCTATATGTAAGGCAAATGATGCAGACTTTCTTCAGAAGATGATCAGACATGAATTATAAATAACAACTTAAGACAGACTGCCAAGGATCCCCAGAGATCCCAAGTCACAGGTCAAGGAAAACCTCACCATGAGTGACTCATATCTCCTTTTTCAGATGTGCCTACAAAGAACCAGAAGGGAAATTCTACCCAGGCATACACCACCTACCTTTTCATATGTTCCTGTTCACTGGTGTCCAAAGCTCGTAGGGTTCGGGCATAAAGAACAACAATGTCGCTGTGCTTGGCTTTCTTGTTGCACTAAAGAATCCAATAGGACATAATTAGAGTGGTTCTAGGAATCTGCCTGACTTAACATGTTAGTGTGTCCTTACCTCTGGTCCTTACCTGGGGACATTTTCTTACTTGTCCTTTGAGCCACGTGGAAATGCACCTATACCCAAAGAGATGCCCACAGCGTAATGCTGAGAGCCGGTGGTCCCCAGCATTGGTCCACTGTTCCAGACATATTGTGCAAGTGTCCCCTTCTTCTTCATCCACAGAAGCAGAAGGTGGCAGAGGGAACTTCTGGGAAGACGGCTAGATGGGGATCAGAATATATTCAAATTAGAGAAAATGTAAAATCAATCTTGAAGAAGATGTGCAACTCTAAGAAATGAACAAAGGTGCAAAAAAGTGACACAAATGTAATTAAAAGGGCTGCAGAAAACTTGAAACACCTATGATTTACTTGTCATTCTAGAATGCAATGTGGCAAAATATAATATAAGCTATGAAAACTACACTACTCTTTGATCTTAAAAAATTCTTGGATACTTTTTCCTTCATTCAAACAAAGAAAAGCAGCTATCCATATAAAGATACAGCAGCTATAAAATATTTAGCTCATGTGTACTGGTGGAAAAGAAAGAGAACAAAGAAAGGATATAAACAGCTTACAAGAAAAACACAATGGTAAGTGTTTGCTTATAAAGAAATGTAAATTAAAGAGAACATTTTCATCTATTAGATTGGTACAAATTGATGTCTGATGACACTAAGCACTGTTAAGGGCAAATGAGATATGGACATGCTTATATACTGTTGGCTTAAATATAAAGTGGCACCATTTGGTATTATCCATGAAAATTAAAACACATATATCTTTCCTTTGGCATAGCAATCTCTCTACTAGAGATATCTCATGGATATACAACCATGCATCGCTTGACAATGGGAATACATTCTGAGAAATGCAGCCTTAGGCGGTTTTGTCACTGAATGATCCCAGAGGTATTTAAACAAACCTAGGCTGTATAACCTATTACATACTTAGGCCATAAACCTGTATAGCATGTTATTGTACCAATTACTGCAGGCAACTGTAGCACAATGGTAAGTATTTATGTATCTAAACACACAAAAGGTACAAAAAAAATGTATTATACATATATATTATATATATATATTTTTTGAGACAGAGTCTCACTTTTTCACCTAGGCTGGAGTGCAGTAGTGTGACCTCCACCCACTGCAACATCTGCCTCCTGGGTTCAAGTGATTCTCCTGCCTTAGCCTCCAAACTAGCTGGAATTATAGGCACACACCACCATGACTGGCTAATTTTTGTATTTTTAGTAGAGATGGGGTTTTGCCATGTTGGCCAGGCTGGTCTCAAACTCCTGACCTCAAGCGATCTGCCTGCCTTGGCCTCCCAAAGTGCTGAGATCACAGGCATGACCCACTGTGTCCAGCCCCGTATTATAATCTTAAGAGACAAACATCATACATGTGGCTTGTCACTGACTGAAACTATTATGCATCCCATGATCATAGTCACAAATATTTTCTAAGACAATTATATAAAATTGTTTCACCGGGCAAAGTGGCGTGTGCATGTAGTCCCAGCTACTTGGGAGGCTGAGGTGGGAGGATCGCTTGAGCCTAGGAGTTTTAGGCTGTAGTGTGCTATGCTGATCAGGTGTCTGCACTAAGTTCGAAATCAATATGGTGACCTCCCAAGAGCGGGGGACCACCAGGTTGCCTAAGGAGGGGTGAACCTGCCTAGGTCGAAAACGGAGCAGGTCAAAACTCCGGTGCTGATCAGTAGTGGGACCTCGCCTGTGAATAGCCACTGCACTCCAACCTGGGCAACATAGCAAGACCCCGTCTCTATTTAAAAAAAAAAAAAAAGATTGTTCCACGAAGTCCCAATGTGGCGATTCATGCCTATAATCCTAGCACTTTAACAGACCAAGGCAGGAGGATCACTTGAGCTCAGGAGTTTGAAATCAGCCTGGCAACACAGCAAGACCTTGTATCTGTTAAAAATTAAAAAAATTAGTCATGTGTGGTGGCACATGCCTGAAGTCCCAAGTAGTCAGGGGGCTGAGGTAAGAGCATCACCTGAGCCCAGGAGAGTGACACTGCAGTGAGCTATGCCTGGCACTCCAGCATGGGGGACAGAATGAGGCCCTGTCTCAAAAAAAAAAGAGTTCAGTGTAGCATGATTTATATCTGAAAAAAAAAAAAAAAAAAAAAAGTATTATCCTCCCAAGTAGTTAAGAAAACACAGGTATGTGCCACCACACACCAACCATGCTTTACATGATAAGGGAAGTATTGACTAAAAATTTATTTGTATGATGGAATGCCATGCAGCTATTAATAAGAACAAGATACAACTTTATATGCTGATAACAGAAAGCTAAGATGTAATAAGCTGGGAAAAATGAGCCAGACTCAAAAACACAAAGAGCATACAGATATATGCAAAAAGTAGATAAATGATGTTTTGAGATTGGCAGAATTCATAGCAGATGTCAGTAACTCATATTGAGGACAATGATGTATAGGTATTATTATTTTTTTGAGATGGAGTCTCGCTCTGTGACCCAGGCTGGAGTGCAGTGGCATGATCTTGGCTGACTGCAACCTCTGCTTCCTGGGTTCAAGTGATTCTCCTGCCTTAGCTTCCTGAGTAGCTGGGACTACAGGCAGATGCCACCACACATGGCTAATTTTGGCATTTTTAGTAGATTTGGGGTTTCACCATGTTGGTCAGGCTTGTATCGAACTCCTGACCCCCAGGTGATCCACCCACCTTGGCTTCCCAAAGTCCTAGGATTAAAGGTGTGAGCTCAGCCATTATTATTATTATCATTACTATTTTGAGATGATGTCTTGCTCAATCTCCCAGGCTGGCGTGCACTGGCGCTTTCTTGGCTCACTGCAACCTCCGCCTCCCAGGTTCAAGCAATTCTCCTACTTCAGCCTCCTGAGTAGCTGGGATTACAGGCATCAGCCACCACACCCAGCTAATTTTTCTATTTTTAGTAGAGACGGGTTTTCCCACATTGACCAGGCTGGTCTCAAACTCCTGACTTCAGATGATCAGCCTGCCTTGGCCTCCCACAGTGCTGGGATTATAGGTGTGAGCCACTGCATCTGGCCATTATTTTTAAAACTAAAAATTATCACCTACTAATTATATTCTGCCTGACATTTTTTTTTTTTTTTTAATTTTAATTTTTTGAGACAGGGTCCCATTCTGCTGCCCTGGAGTGCAGTGGTGCAATCATGGCTCACTGAAGCCTTGACCTCCCAGGCTGAAGCAATCCTGCTTCAGCAGTCCTGCTTCAGCCTCCCTAATAGCTGGGACTACAGGTGTGTGCCACCACACTCAGCTAATGTGCTTGATAATTTATAAAGCACATTTATATTTTTTCAACTGATACTTAACCTTGTTGGCTAGATGGGACAGGTTATCCTCAATACTCCTCCCTTTCCATTTTTAAATCTAAGATAAAGCAGTCACACAAATAATGAGTAACTGGGTTAGGATACACACCTGGACCTTTTCCCTACAAAGCCGGCAAGCTTCCCATTTTAACTGCAGCACCCACCACCCCCCACCTTTTTTTTTTAAAGTAGAGACAAAGTTTCTCCATGTTGGCCAGACTGGTCTCGATTCCCAACTTGGTGTGATCACCTCGGTCTCCCAAAGTGCTGGGATTACAGGTGTGAGCCACCGTGCCTGGCCAAAAACCCAAACCTTTTATTTAAAAGGATATTCAGGTTGGGCATGGTGACTCATGCCTATAATCTTGATGCTTTGGGAGACTGAGGCAGGTGGACCCCTTGAGCCCAGGAGTTCTAAACCAGCTGGGTAATATAGTGAGACCCTGTCACTACAAAAAATAAAAAATTTAGCTGAGTATAGTGGTATTATCTGGAGTTCCAGTTACTTAGGTGGCTGAAGTGGGAGGATCTTTTGAGCCCAGAAGTTTGAAGCTACAGTGAGTTATGACTGCACCACTGAACTCCAGCCTGGGTGAGAGTAAGACCCAGTCTCAAATAAAATTAAAATAAAAATAATAAAAAATAAAATAAAATAAAATGATGTTCATGTTACCTGTTTGGGGAGGGTTTCACCTCCATTGATAGATGTAACTTCTTGTTCTGCTGAGACACCTGCTAGTTGCGCTGCTAAGTCATTTCCAAAAATGACAGGATAGGGAAAATACGAAATAAGATATGTCAGGTATGAGAACACAGCAAGAAAGAGCCTGACTCACTACAGCTTCCCATTTATAACTAACAGTGCTCTTGCAAAAGAGATGACAATTTCTCCAGGTACCGTCAGTGAATTTATTTTTAAAAATTTATTTTGGATATTCTCAAACATACATAAAAGTAGACAGAACGGTATAGGTAAGCCACAAGTACCCATCACTCAAATGAAAAAATAATCAACATTTTGCCAATCTTATTCCACCTAAGCCCTCATTCTATTATTTTCTTTTGGTTGGAATACTTAATAAACCTTAAAATGTCATTGCACTTGCAACAACTTCTGCAAACACTGATAAAAATTCTTTTTCTTAATATAAACACTGGATAATTATCATACCTAACAACAGTCCTCCAATACCACTGAATACCCAGGCATCCATACCAAGTTTTAAAGCTGCTTTCTATAGATTTATTCCAATCAGAATCCAAAAAAGGTATACATAATGAGCTTGTCTCTTAAGTCTTTTTCATTCTATTACAATTCCCTCTCACCCATTTTTTTCCCTCTCTGTCAATGATTTGTCAGATAATTTGTCTAATGAAATGTCCTACACATCCTGGATTTGGCTGACTGCTTCTTCATGAAACGGTTTAACTTTAAAAAATTATTATTATTCTTTTGAGATGCAGTCTCACTCTGCCACCAGGCTGGAGTGCAGTGATGCGATCTTGGGTCACTGAAACCTCTGCTTCCCAGGTTCAAGTGATTGTCCTGCCTCAGCCTCCCAAGTAGCTGGGACTACAGACACGCGTTACCATGCTAGCTAATTTGTGTATTTTTAGTAGAGATGGGGTTTCACCACGTTGGCCAGGATGGTCTTGATCTCTTGATCTGCCCGCCTCAGCCTCCTAAAGTGCTGGGATTACAGGTGTGAGCCACCATGCCCGGCCTGAAATTGTTTAACTTTTACATACAATATATTTAGCATTGTGCAACCATTACCATAACCCAATTTAAAATATGTCTATCAGTCCACAAAGATCCTTTATGCCCATGTAGAGTCACTTCACATTTGCACCTGTAGCCCCAGGCAACAACTAATCTTGTCTTTTTTTTTTTTTTTTTTTTTTTTTTTTTTAGGAATGGAGGAAGGCAGGAAGGGAGGGAAGGAGGAAGGGAGGGAGGAAGGAAGGTAGGGAGGGAGGGAAGGGAAGGAAGGAATTCAAGCAATGAGAGAGACATTGCCGACCTGGATCTAGAGGTTTACAAGTTGATTTCTTTTTTTGAGAGAAGGAAAGAAAAAAAAAAATGAGTAAAGGAGAGAAAGAGAGAGAGGGAGGGTGAACGGAAATATTGCTTTATTCTGAAAAAAACAAAAACAAAAACAAAAACAAAAAAAACCAAAAGGGTATCAATAATGGCCAATCAATGTTTCATTTAAACCTGTGAGTAGGTGTGATGTGGTATTGACAAGAATGTATATTTTATGTATTTGAAGTGGAGAGCTCTATAAATATTTATTAAGTTTATTTGTTCTGGATCTGAGTTCGAGTCCTTGATATCCTTATTAATTTTCTGTCTTATTGTGTCTAAGTCTCTATGTATCTGGGTGTTAGGATCGTTAGCTCTTGTTGTTGCATTGATCCTTTTACCACTATATCTTTGTTGCTTTAAAATCTATTTTATCCAATACGAGAATTGCAACTCCTGCTATTTATTTATTTATTTATTTATTTATGCTCTCCATTTGGTTGGTAAATCTTTCTCCATTCCTTTGTTTTGAGTCTTTGTGTATCCTTGCATGTGAAACAGGTCTGGATGTAACATGCCATTGGGTTTTGGCTGTGTCTTTTGATTGGGGGATTTAGTTGATTTAAATTTAGGGTTACTGCCATTTGATGTTAACTGGCTGTTTTATCCATTCGTTGGTGTAAATTCTTCTTTATGTTGGTGCTCTTTACTTTTTGGTATATTTTTAGTAAGGCTAATACTTGTTGTTTCTTTCTGTGTGTAATGCCTCTTTTAGAAGCTCTTGTAAAGCAGGCCTGGTGGTAATAAAATCTCTGAGTACTTGCTTGTTCATAAAAGATTTTACTTTTCCTTCAGTTGTGAAGCTTAGTTTGGCTGGATATGAAATTCTGGGCTGAAGGTTCTGTTCTTTGAGGATGTTGAATATTAGCCCCCACTCTCTTCTGGCTTGTAGAGTTTCTGCTGAGAGATCTGCTGTAAGTCTGATAGGCTTGCCTTTGTGGGTAACCTGACCTTTCTCTCTGGCTGCTCTTAGTATTTTCTCCGTTTCAACCCTGGTGAATCTAACGATTATGTGCCTTGGGGTTGCTCTTCTTGAGGAATATCTTTGTGGTGTTCTCTGTATTACCAGGGGTTGAATATTGACCTACTTTGCTAGTTCAGGAAAATTTTCCTGAATAATATCCTGAAGGGTATTTTCCAGCTTGGATTCATTCTCTCCGTCGCATTCAGGTACACCTATCAAACGTAAATTTGGTCTTTTCACATAGTCCCACATTTCTTGGAGACTTTGCTCATTCCTTTTTATCCTTTTATATCCAATCTTGTCTTCTTGTTTTCTTTCATTAAGTTGGACTTTGACCTCTGATATCCTTTCTTCTGCTTGAACAATCCGAGTGTTTAAACCTGTGCATACTTCTCGGAGTTCCTGTATTGTATTCCTCAGTTCCATTAATTCACTTATATTCCTCTCTAAATTGTCTATTCTTAGTAGGAATTTCTCAAACCTTTTTTCAAAGTTCCTAGTTTCTTTACGTTGGGCTACATCATGTTCTTTTAACTCACAGAAGTTTCTTGTTATCCATTCCCTGAAGAGTGATTCTGTCATTGGGATGCGCTCGTTCTCCATCAAGCCTTGTTCCATTGTTGATGTGGAACTGTGATCATCTTTAGAGGGAGAGGAGTTCTGATTTTGAGTATTCTCAGCCTTTTTGCACTGGTTTCTTCCCATCATTGTAAATTTATCCTCCTGTCGTCTTTGAAATTACCAACTTTCAGATCAGGTCTCTTGAGTGGATGTCCAAGTTGTTAGTTCCCAGGGCCAGAACGGCGGTGTTAAGACTGATGGTGCTTTTCTGCCCAGGATTCTCCTGTCTGGCTTCCTTCTTGTGTCCATAATGGGCGACTCTGTCTTCCCGGGGCTCCAAACCTCGGTCAAAAGGGGAACCAGTCTCGTTTACTCTGTGCCGAGAGCTGCCGCACCGAGATGCCGTATCAGCCGCTGCGCCGGCCTCAGGAGTTGCGCTGGGGACCTGTGTGGGTCCTCCAAACCTCAGTCAAAAGGGGAGCCGGCCCTGTTTACTCTGCTCCGAGAGCTGACGCTCTGAGGTGCCAGTGAAACCACTGCGCCGGCCACAAGAGTTGCGCTGGCGACCCGAGTGGTTCCTCCACTGGGGATCTTCTGCTCCGTGAGCGACCAGAATTTGTCTGAAAGTGTGGCGTCCTCTAGTTCTCTGCGCTTTGACTGAGAGCTGCAGTCCCGAGCTGTTATCGATCGGCCATCTTGGATCGTTCCATCTTCTCTCTTTAGACTCGCCTTTTCTGGACATTTTATGTAAGTGGAATCATATACTATATGCTGGTTTACTGTTATATAAAACATTAAAAATTGTCCCCACTGATTTGAGATATTCCCTTTAAAATATGTTAAATTTCCATATACATTTAGATCTAGAAAGATGTTCCATTTGTAAAATATTCTACAGTTTTAATGTAAATGATTGACAACATCTCTGAGGTATTATTTACCTTGTTCCTCCACCCCTTTTTCTACAGACTATGCAAACCGGTTATTAGAAAAGAGTCTTGAGTAGATTCAGGGCTTTTTTTTGGCAGTGGGGGTGGGGGGCTGGTGTGTGTGTATGTACAGTACTTCCTAAGTGGCATGAGTATCTCAGATTACAGCACATTAAGAGGCACATATGGTCTTAACCTATTTTTTTGAGATGCTAAGATTGACTAATGGGTTCAGGTGCTATCATCCTGGTCCCTGTATTAAAAAGAATCCCATCGGGGGAAGGAGCACTACCAAATCGAAGATGGCGACCAGCAGGAGGCTGATGAAGCTTGAAGAAATCTGCAAATTGTGGAATGAAAAACTTCCGTAACATCCAGGTTGATGAAGCTAATTTACTGACTTGGCAAGGGCTTATTGTTCCTGACAACCCTCTGTATGATAAGGGACCTTCAGAATCGAAATCAGCTTTCCAGCCGAGTACCCATTCAAACCACAGAAGATCACATTTAAAACAAAGATCTATCACCTGAACATCGATGAAAAGGGGCGGGTCTGTCTCCCAATAATTAGTGCTGAAAACTGGAAGCCAGCAACCAAAACCACCCAAGTAATCCAGTCCCTCACAGCACTGGTGAATGACCCCCAGCCCAAGCCCCAGTTCGGGCTGACCTAGCTGAAGAATACTCTAAGGACTGTAAAAAATTCTGTAAGAATGCTGGAATTGACAAAGAAATATGGGAAAAAGCAACCTGTGGACTAAAATCTGCCACGACTGGTTCCAGCAGGTGTGAGCAGAGACCCCGTGCAGTGCATTCAGACACCCCGCAAAGCGGGACTCTGTGGAAATTGACACGTGCCACCGCCTGGCATTTGCTTGTGTCAGTTACTGACTTTCTACAGTTTTCTTAATCAAAAGTGGTCTAGGTAAGGTAACCTGTAAAGAAAGGATTAAAAATTTAAGATGTTCTAAAAATAAATAAATAAATAAATAAATAAAAAGAATCCCATCAATCCTGCAAACTACTGGTTTTAGGATCCACTGATGATCTGTGCCTAGATATATCATTTAATCAGGAGTCACAGTGATGATTTTTCTATTGCTTCTGCTACAATCAGCTGAAATTTTTTATTTAAGAAAACTTTCAAGCCTGGGCAACACAGGGAGACTCCATCCCTACAAAAAATTAGCCAGGTATGATGGCACATACATATAGTCCTAGCTAGTCAGGTGGCTGAGGTGGGAGGATCACTTCAGCATGGAGGTCAAGGCTACAGTGAGTTGTGATCATGCCACTGCACTCCAACCTGGGGGACAGAGTGAAACACTGTCTCAAAACAAACAAATAAATAAAAACAACAAAAAAAATACACTTCATCAACTCTCTGGTTGTCCTAAATACAGTTTATACAGGAAGTCAAAATATTAATATATTCTTATTTACTAGTTTTTGGAGTAATGAGTTGAGGCTCTAACAACTTACAATAATGACAAATGAGGTTTTGGAAAATTATATAAATACAAACTTATAGATTTATTGTATTTCAACTCATAATCCAAGAATATTCTTTCAGTGGAAATATATACTGAAAGAGCACCCTCTGAGGATTAGAAAGTTTTTAATGTAAGCAGAACATCTACTTTAGGGGGTCTCTGACTACAACTGTTAAAGTTCCACTTGCATAACACCTAACATACTAGGACTCAAAAGTGTCAGCCTAAAACTTCTCTTAAATAAAGAATCTAGGTCGGGTGCAGTGGCTCCTGTCTGTAATCCCGGCACTTTGGGAAGCTTAGGCAGATGGATCTCTTGAGCTCAGGAGTTTATGAACAGCTGGGGCAACATGGAAAAACCCCATCTCTACAGAAAATTAAAAAAATTAGCCAGTGTGGTGATATGTGCCTATAGTCCCAGATACTTGGGAGGCTGAGGTGGAAGGATGGCTTGAGCGTAAGGGAAGAAGCTGCAGTAAGCCGAGATTGTTGTCATTGCATTCTAGTTGTCACTGGGCAACAGAGCCAGACCTTGTCAAAAAATAAAAGAAAAAGAAAAAAAAGGAATCTATTTACTCAGATGTCTAAAAAAGCAAAAGAGAATATAAAACGCCATTACAAAGTGACTGACTCACTGGGTCACAAATTATACTGAGCTGTAAGTCAGATCAAATCCTCTCTATATTATGGCCAGAGAAGGCTCTATAGTATAAAACAGGAATCACAACATTTAGGGGATAAAAGGGAAAGTGTTAAAACACAAATATAGAGCTTCTAGCCTTCTGAAGTTTAAGCTTCATGGATGTTAGACTTCTGAGTCCAAACCTGCATAAAATACTCACCTTCTGAAACGACAGCTCCAGATTCCTCTGTCTGGTCAACAACCTCTCCATGCTCTGTAGAGCTGTCACTGTCAGAATCAGAACTACTAGACAACTCCAAGTCTTCATTCACAGGATTCCTAGTCTCTGAATTGTAAGTGGTAGCTGGCAAGTCAGGCTGGGTCCTGCTCACCTGAAAGTAAGCATCCAATGGCGCTCTCAACCTATGTATAGAGGAAGACAATAGAATTACAGTACAATGAACTATCATCACAAAAACAATCTACAGTGCTTTGAAGTAAATCCTATCACTTCAACCCATCTCCAGGCCATTAAATGGTGCCTTTGAAAGCTGAACAGGAATAGCAAATAAGGGGAGACTGGCCTCCTGGATATTATCTTTTACCACTCAACCACTGCTACATTAGCCCACATAGGAGCTTGATCATTCTGTTAAAAGCTACTTCTACTTCACTGGCATCTGGCCACATTGTCAATATCTTTAAAGGACACAACTCAGCAATCTGTATACTGGTACTGTGTAGCTGAAAAGGGAGGGTGAACAAGAAGAAAAAGGGCCTTGTTGCCCAAATATGGTCTCATGTGATTTTGCTATTGCAGCCACCTAGACCAAGGTATTTTGGAATATAGTACAGGGTCTGAATTCTGTGATTTCTTCATCTTTCATTTTAGGACAGTATTTTTCTTTTAAAATTTAAATAATGCTAGTTTAAGATAAAAAACATAATTTGACTCAAAAAAATAACTTAGGATGATAAGAACAGCTGGGGCCAAATCTAACACTCCAAATCTATCTTGGCTGGCTGAGTTTAAAATAACCATTGCAGTACCTCAGCTTCCCTAACTCCTGGAATAACAAATCACAATCCAGCTTGAGCCAAGGAGTTTGAGGCCACTTGTGTCACAGAATTAATGAAACTTCCTATTTAGTAGAGACAGGGTCTTACTCTGTTAGCCAAGCTGGTCTTGAACTCCTGATCTCAAATGATCCACCTGCCTCAGCCTCCCAAAGTGCTGGGATTACAGGCGTGAGCCACCGCACCCAGCAAAATTAATGAAACTTTATATTAAAAACTAAAAGAGTTCCTGAGGAAGGATCTAGGTGCGCGCGCACACACACACACACACACATACACACACACAGCCAGGTGCAGTGGCTCATGTCTGTAATCCTAGCACTTTGGGAGGCCAAGGTGGGCGAATTACTTGAGCCCAGAAGTTTGAGACCAGCCTGAGCAACATGGTGAAACCCCATCTCTACAAAAAATACACAGTATAACCAGGCATGGTGGTGTGCACCTGTAGTTTTAGCTACTTGAGAGGCCAAGATGGGAGGATTGGCCTGGGAGACTAAGGCTGCAATGAGACATGATGGTGCCTATACTCCAGCCTGGGTGACAGAGTGAGACCCTGTCTCAACAACAACAACAACATCCAAAAAACTCAGGAGGCTGAGGCAGGAGGATCATTTGAGCCTGGGGGTTTGAGGCCACAATGAGAGAGCTATGACTATGCCACTGCACTCCAGCTTGGTTGGCAGAGTGAGACTCCATCTTCAAAAAAATAATAAGAAAAAAAATTGTGCTGTGGCTCACACTGTAATCCCAGCACTTTGGGAGGCCACAGCAGGAGGACTGCGTGAGGCCAGAAGTTTGAGATCAGCCTGGCCAACATAGCAAGACACCATCTCTATTAAAAAAAAAAGTTTTTAAAGCTGGGCACAGTGGTTCATCCCTGTAATCCCAGCACTGTGGGAGGCCAAGGTGGACGGATCATAAGGTCAGGAGTTCAAGATCAGCCTGGCCAACACTGTGAAACCGCATCTCTACTAAAAACACAAAAATTAGCCAGGCATGGTGGCACACACCTGTAATTCCAGCCACTCAGGATGATGAGGAAGGAGAATTGCTTGAACCTGGGAGGTGGAGGGTGCAGGGAGCTGAAATGGTGCCACTGCACTCCAGCCTGGTCGACAGAATGAGACTGTCTCAGGGGAATTTTTTTTTTTTTTTTAATAAAAGGGCATTCCAAACTTTAAAACATACCACCTCGCTAAAAATTACTAAATTTAACTGACAGGTGACCTACTATAATTTTAATAATTATGACACTAAATAGAATACTGATTATTACCCAGAAACATTGTTCGGGACTGCTTACACAGAAAAATTTTTATTTCTAGTAGTTTGGCTGCAATTTATTGATGAATTAGGAATTTCTACTAAAAAAAAAAAAAAAGATGACTGAATGCTAATTAGAACAAAAGATACACTACTTAGTGTCCAACTCAGAACACAGATTTTTTTTTTTGCCCCTTTAAAAACAGATATGTCAATAAACCAAAATAAGAAATAGCAATCAAGTTGCTTTTCTTTTTTGGAAACTGAGATATAATTAATATACTATAAAATCCACAATTTAAAAGTGTACAATTCAGTGGTTTTTAGGTTATATAATCATAAGCATAATCATTATCTGGTTCCAAAACATTTTTGTTACACATAAAAGGAACCCTGTATCCATAAAAAGTCATTTCCCTCTCCTCCTCTCCCTGGGCCCTTGGGAATGACTAATTTACTTTCTGTCTCATGAATTTGCCTATTCTGGATATTTCATATGCAGTGTATAATATATGTGGCCTTTTGCATCTGGCTTCTTTCAAAACTTGATGACAAATACAAAATAATGTCACTTAACAATAGTTTAAATTCTTCCCTTTCAATCTGAATGTCTTTTATGCCTTTTTTCTTGCCTAAAAGCCCTGGCTAGCACCGCCAGTATAATGTTGAATAGAAATGGCAAAAACAGACATCTTTGCCTTGTTTCTCATCTTAGGGGTAAAGCTCTCAGTCTTTAACCTTTTATTACGTTAGTTGCAGGTTCCTCACTGATGCCCTTTATAGGGTTAAGTTCCCTTCTATTTCTGGTTTGTTGAGTGCTTTTACCCAACATAAAAAAGTTTTAGATTTTTTTGTTAAATGCTTTTTCTGTTTCTACTGTAATGTTCATTGTCCCCTTTATTGTATTGGTATTTCCCTCAACTGTTTTTGTGTATGTTGAACCAACCTTGCTTTCCTAAAACAAACTGGCCGGAAAGAATCAGTTAAGAAATATTCCCGTGACCAGGTAGTGGCTCATGCCTGTAATCCCAGCACTTTGGGAGGCCGAGGTAGGGTGGATCATGAGGTCAGGAGTTCGAGACTAGCCTGACCAACATGGTGAAACCCCATCTCTACAGAAAAAACGAAAATTAGTGTGGTGGCATGCGTCTGTAATCCCTCAGCTACTCAGGAGGCTAAGGCAGGAGAATAGCTTGAACCCAGGAGGCAGAGGTTGCAGTGAGCTGAGATTGTGCCACTGGACTCTAGTCTGGCAACAACAGAACAAGACTCTATCACAAAAAAAAAAGTTCACTCCATATTTTTTGAGAGTTTATGAAGTATTGGTATTACTATTATACTTCTTTAAACAGGAGAGCAATTGGATGTGTGTCTGTGTGTAGATGTGTATGACCAGACTCATAGTCGTGAAAGGTACTGGGCCCATTAGGAAGGGCCTCATGTGTTGAGCAATTTATAAGAATTAAGACAGCCACATAAGGCTGAGTGAAGAAGCCTCCGGGCATTGTGTGAGGATTGAAGTGAATGTAAATTGGAGAGTGCTCCCTGCTGCGCCTTGTTAGGCGAGAACAGGAACTACTGTGAGTGAACTAACACTCTCCTAACAGTGGGAATTGTTTCTTTGAAGTGTTAATATGGGTCACTCCCATAGCCGTTCCCCTCCTTTAGAAACCATGCTGAAAAATTTAAAGAAGGGATTTAGTGGGAATTATAAAGTAACTATGACACCAGAGAAATTAAGGGTTTTATGTAGGGAAGATTGACCAGCATTCAGGGTAGGTTGGCCCCCAGAGGGGACCCTAGACAGGTCCCTTGTCTCCAAAGTAAGGCATGAGGTTATGTATGGTGAGCTAGAACACCTCGATCAATTTCCATACATAGACTCCTGGTTGCAGTTAGTGTTAAACCCTCCGAAGTGGCTAAGAGAAAAGGCAGCGACTGTTTTAGTAGCCAAGGGACAGACTACTAGAAACCACCATCCCCGTCGCCACCGAGAAAAGCAGACTCCCAAGGTTTTGGTTAACCCAGCGGCAGAAGAATTTTTGTCAATAATGCCTCCTCCTCCTCAAGGACTCCCTGCCCCTGGGCCGGAGGCCTCGGCATCCCCACCAGAGCTGCACACCCCTAAATCCTCCAGAGCAGACAAAAGAGTGTGTGGAAAAACTCCGCCCATTGCTGCCCGCTTCCTGGAGGGAACTCCCCCTCTGGCAGCCCATCTGCGACCCAAGACGGGGGTGCAGATGCCTTTGAGAGAGCAGAGGTACATGGGAGTGGACGAGGACGGCCACGTGGTAGAAAGGCGTGTTTTCACGAACCTGCGGTTCACCTCAGCTGATCTTATCAATTGGAAAAATAACCCCAAGCTCTCATTGATCTACTGCAAACTATTATTCAGACTCATAACCCCATTTGGGCTGATTGCCATCAGCTGCTTATGCATCTTTTTAACACGAACGCAAAGTGGAGAATACTCCAAGCCGCTTCTAATTGGCTGGAAGAGCATGTTCCTGCAGATTACCAGAACTCCCAAGAATATGTCAGGGTCCAGTTACCGGGAACTGACCCCCAGTGGGCTCCAAACACCCCGGAGGGCATGCAAAGGCTAATCCGGTACAGAGAAGCCTTGCTGGAAGGATTTTAAAAAGGGGCCCAGAGAGTTACGAACATTAATAAAGTCTCTGAGGTTCTTCAAGGAAAAGAAGAAAGCCCTACCCAATTCTACAAAAGACTGTGTGAAAGCTTATCGCATGTACACTCCTTTTGATCCTGAGAGCCCGGAAAAATCAGCGTTTGATAAATATGGCATTAGTCAGTCAATGTGCAGAAGACATTAGAGGAAAACTGCAGAAACAGGCAGGATTTGCATGCATGAATACTTCACAGTTGTTGGAAATAGCTAACCAGGTGTTTGTAAACCAAGAGGTGGTAAGCCACAGGGAAAATCGTAGGGAAGAGGAACTTCAGGCTTGGCGAAATGCCGTCTTGATAGCTGCCTCTATTAAAGGAGCGCCCCCTAGAGGGCTGGAAAAGGGGAGTTCCTGGAAAGCCCCACAGTCTGCCCGCCTGAGCCTGCAATGCGATCA